TAAATTAATAGTAATAATAAATAAGATCACCAAGTATTTGAAAAGTAAATAACACACTTAAAAAATAACCAATGGGTCACAAAAAAGTCATAAGGGAAATTAAACAGTAGTACAAAATATTTTTACACAACATATCAAAATTTGTGGGATACAGCTAATGCAATGCATAGAGAGAAGCTTATACATGTGAGTTTTTAAAAATCAATGGTCTTAAGTTTCCACCTTAAGAAGCTAGAAATAGAGGAGCAAATTAAACCCAAAGTAAGTAGAAGAATGGAAATAAAGAGCAGAAATTAAAGAAAAACAAAAATAAAGCCACAGTCTGGTTCTAAAAATTAATAAAACTGATATACCTTTCTCCCCTACCAGCATGACAAAACAGGACGAAGTAAACATGAATAACCAATATAATAAAAGGTGACAAGTCCTACAGAATTGAAAGGATAATAAAAGGATATTATGAGTAATTTATAAAATTATAAAATTTATAAAATTGTTATATTATGACAATTGTTATTTTGACAATCTAGAGAAAATGGAAAGATTGTGAAAATAGAAAATTTGAATAGTATTATTCATTAAAAATTAAATGTAAAATAAAAAACAAAGGAAAATTCAGACCCAAATTTCTTTCCTGTGTAATTCTATCAAATATTTAAGGAATAAATAAATGTTATATGAACATTTTCAGAAAATAGAGCAATAGGGAATACTTTAGTACATTTTAGGAGGTAAACAAAACTGATATAAGAACTTGACAAGGAAATTATAAGAAAGAAAATTACAAGATCAGTATCTGTCATGAACAGAGAGCCAATTATCCCTATCAAAATATTAGCAAACTGATTCCAGCAATATACAAAATTGATAGTACATCATAACCAAGTAGGATTTATTCCAGAAATATAAGGTAGTTTAACATTTAAAAATAAGTCAACTGGTATATTCCATTAATAGAATGAAGGAGAAAAATCATGTGATTACCTAACTCTATTAAAAAAAATGATGACCAAATTCAACACATCTGGATAATTTTCAACAATGGTAAAGGAAACTTATGAAAAACCTACAGTTAACATGATATTTAATTATGAAAGATTGAATACTTTCCTCCTAAGATCAGAAACAAGGCAAGGATGTTTGCCTAATTTTATTGAATATTGTATCAGAGGTCCTAGCCAATATGAAATCAGAAAAAAATAATTTCTACAAAAAATATTACTAAGGTTTGATTATGTTTTCTAACAAATTGACACACACATTATATATATATATATATATAAATGCAAAGAATATGGAACAGCCAGAACAACTGTGGAAGTACAGTGTTGGAGGACTTATACTATTTCCTTTCAAGATTTATTATAAAGTTATTAAGACAGTGTTGATATGAGGATATGAGATTGATATGATAATCAAATAGATTAATGAAAGAGAAAAGAAAACCCAGAAATATATCCACACATAAAGAGTTGACTGATATTTGATAAAGTTGCCAAGGCAATTCAATTTGGAGAAGAGTCTTTCCAATAAATTCTGGAACTGAATATACATAAGTGAAAAAAATAAATCTTGATCTCTACTTCACACCTTATACAATTATTATTTGTGTTGGGTTACAGCTAAAATTATAAGTTAAATCTGTAAAACAAAGCACTAACCATGAATAAGATTGCTAATTTTGAGTTTATAACTAAAATTTATTTTATTATGTTCAGTTAGCCAACATATAGTTCTCATAAATTTTTGTTGTAGTGTTCAATGATTCATTACTTTATATGCAACTAAAAATTTCTTTTTATCAAAGAGATATACAAGAAAATCAAAAGGCAAGCCACAAAATTGGCCAATATTTTCACTATGTTTATATGACAGATGACTTGTATTCAAAATATATAAATGGCTAGTACAAATCAATAAGCAAAAAATTCAATAAAAAATGGACAAAAGATATTAACAGACATTTCATAGAAGGTGTATGCACAAACAGTAAATGTATGAAAAGTTGCTCAATGTCGGTCATCAGAAAAACGCAAATTAAACCCACAAATTACCATTTTACCATTGGAATGGTTAAAATAAAAGAATGGTAGTTTCAAGGATTTATCAGGATGTAGAACAACTGAGAAGTGTTATACAACACTTGCGAGAGTATAAAATGGTACAATTACTTTGGAAAACAATTTGGTAGGTTCTATTAAACATACATTTACCTTATAACCCAGAAATTCTACTTTTAGTTTAAGAAATATTCAAAGCAGCTTTATTTATAATAGCAAAAAAAAAAAAAAAGGAAGCAACTCAAGTGTCCCCAAATAGTTAAACTTTGGTGTATTCATGCAATGGAATACTAGCAAATAAAAAGGAATTCACAACTCATGCACACAATACAGATGAATCTCAAAAACATGTTGAGCCAAGGAAGTTGGACACATAGAATATATATTATAGCATTCCACTTATATGAACTTCTAGAACAGTAAGTTTGATCCAAGGTAATCAAAATCAAACAGTGGTTTTCTCAGTGGAGGACCCCTAAGGGTTTTACCTGGAAAGAGCACAAGGGAACTTTCTGGGATTATAAAAATATTCTGTATCTTGATTAAGGTGGTGTTTATACTGATGCACATGTTTGTCAGATATCATCTAATTATATATTTAACATATGCATTTTATTTTAGGTAAATTATACCTCATTAAAAAATAGTTTTGGAAAAATAAATCAACTGTAACCAATGGTCCCAAATAGAGTATAGCTGGTTTTCTTGATTTCCCCCATAATTTGAATTAAGTATCCTGGAGACTAGAATTTATTGGCCAATCTGAGGTCTCTAGTTGCCTGGCAACCTGGGCTGTTTGTGGGAAAATTAAAGCTACTAATTTTGAGCCCTAGAGTGAAAGAAGAATTATTATGGTAACACAGGAGTCAGAGTACATGGGTGGGGGATTTTGCTGAGGTCTCCTATTTAAGTTGTCACCAGGGATTTATCTTCCTGAATCATCATTATATTTCCAAACCCTAGAAGAGTGTTTGTCATGTTGCATATTCTCAGTAAGGTCAGTGATATTAGGGAAAGAATTATCCCCTCATTCCTAGATTAAATCTTATTAGATTTTTGTTTCCAGGGTCTAGATTTATAGGAACTTATTGGATAAGGGGTAAACAACACAGAATTTAGAATTAAAAAGATCTGAATTCTGGCTCTGATATTTACTTGATTTCTTGGGCAAGTTATTACCTTCCTAATCTTCTGCCTTGGACTCTAAATTGGAGGTAATTATGTGCCTTCATCAGATGGTTATGAAACTCTAAGAAGATGATGCATATTCTTGTGAGGCACTGCAGAGTGTTAAGTTAATCTACTGCTATAACTGGATGAAGTTCTGATGACCTAGGTCTTCCTGAGCCTGCTAGTGGCCTTCTGTGCAAGCTCTTCCCTAACTTACTAGAATGCTTTGCCTGAAAGCCAAATACCTATTAACTCCTTACCAATCTGAATGTAGATTCTTTTTTTTTAAAGATTTATTTATTTATTTATTTGAGAGAGCGAGAATGAGAGAGAGTACATGAGAGGGGGGAGGGTCAGAGGGAGAAGCAGGCTCCTCGCTGAGCAGGGAGCCCGATGTGGGACTCGATCCCGGGACTCCAGGATCATGACCTGAGCTGAAGGCAGTCGCTTAACCAACTGAGCCACCCAGGCGCCCCTGAATGTAGCTTCTGAGCAGGGATGTCAAAACCAGAGACTCTGCGAACTCTGGATCCTAATGGGCCTTCTAATCACAGCCATCACTTTAATTTTTAAAACCTGCTCTGGAGGTCAAATTGGACTGCTTTCTCTATTTTCTCTCCAAAGAAGGGGTGTAGTCTTTTCCCTGGACATTTGAGGCTTGGTGGCAGCTCCACATGGCCACTCCCAGGGAACAGACTTGATATCATCTAGTCTGAGACTTTGTTCCCACACCTTACACCCCAGGCATCATCGAAGGCTTCTGAGAAAGTGGCCTTTCCTATGTGTAGAGATGTGGAATGAAAAGAGGTGGGTACTGGGATCTCTTCCCTGAGCAAGTTAGGTGTCCTTACTCAATACCCATGGTCCCTGTGCTTATCCTAATCATATTTCTTTAATTTGGCTAATTAAACTAATTTATTTCACTGTTGTCTCCCTATTGTCATTTTCCTCTGGCTAACAGTTAACAGTCTTCACAAGGACTTTTGACCTAATCAAGTCCATACCCCTAGATTTTTAGCATACTAAATGCTCAATGAAAAGATGAAAATTCTCACCTTCCTAGATTGACATTACACTTTGTTGCATATTCCTCTGTACAGTGGACACGGTTGTCCCTATGGTCCATTGCTGAGTGTTCTATCTCCATCTCTCTGCTTCTCTTCTCTGTGTATGTGTTTCTCCTGTCAAAGTTGGAGTTCACTGAGGGAGGTATTCATGTATCCATATCAGAGTAGGAACACCTGACTATGGATGAGGATTTTTTTCCTTTTCAGATCATCAGTCATATCTTTCTCATTTTATCAAGGTCTCCTAGAAGGTAGGAGCCATGTCAGAAGAGCAGTGTGGAATTCCCGGGGAGGCTATCATCAGCTTGATGACCATGTTTCCCAATAGACAGGGGATCCCTAGGCTTTGTAACCATATCTACATCACAAGTGGGAAATATATGATGATTCTTCACCCATCAGACTTGTGCTTTATCTCCTTATTGAAGTAAGGATACCACTGAGTGTGGGTTTTTCTCTCTCCACCATGCGGGAAACTACTGGTCTCTTAACAATTGATGTTGGTTCACAAATTGGCTCCCATACACAGAGAGCAAGAAGAGACCAAGGAAAGAGGCAGGCCACTCCAGATGGGTAGGTGGCAGGTTTAAAGAGCAAGGGACTTACTTAAGAGATTTGTCTTGGTGGCCACAAGATAAGTACCCATCTGCCAAATCTTAAAAGTTTATGTAGAGGCCTTAACTGGGTTTAGTCATGTATAAGGTCCAGATGGGCTCAACAATACCTTACGCTCTCAAGGCTGTGTACTTAGAGCAGCTCTCACTGTGGGAATGGTGGTCAGAATGTACATTCCAGGGACAGAGGAAGGGATAAAGAATGCCCAAATACCCCCAGCCAGCTCACAGGTTAACTGGTGGTCACATCCTCTCAATGGCCTCCTCCAACAATTGCCCAAGGCCTAAAGGAAGAAGATAGCTTTCCAGGGTGGGGTTGAAGACTTAAGACTGAACAATGCCCTGCTTCATCAGTCGGAGGGCTCCACCCCGGATCTGTTTGGTCTTCATGCCATAGATGATGGGGTTGAGCATGGGTGGTAAAACAAGGTAGAGGTCAGCCAGGAGGATGTGGATGTGCCGGGGTACATGCTGGCCAAAGTGCTGTGTGTAGAATGAAAAGAGTCCTGGTGTATAGAAGAGAAGGATGACACCAAGGTGGGAGCCACAAGTGCCAAATGTGTTAGCCCTTGCTTCTTTGGAGGAAAGGCTTAACACAGCCCAGAGGATGAGTGCATAGCAGACAGCGATGCAAATGGAGTCTGTGCCCACCACCAGCCTGGCAGCAGTGATGCCATAGATGTTGTTTGGCTGTGTGCCCCCACAAGCCAGCTTCACTACAACCATGTGCTCACAGTAGGAGTGGGCCGCAACTCGGCTACAGTAGCTCAGCCTTGCCAGTAAGCAGGTGAGTGGGGTCATGAGCCCCAAGCCACGAAACACAGCAGCAGCTGCCAGCTTGCCCACAGTCTCTGGGGGCAACAATGACCCATAGTGCAGTGGCCGGCAGATGGCCAAGTAGTGGTCAAAGGCCATTGCTAGCAGGATACCAGATTCAACAGCTGAAAAGCCATAGATAAAGAACATCTGGGTAGCACAGGCCCCAAAGTTGATCTCAGTAGCATTTGTCCAAAAAAGTGCAAGGAGCTTGGGCACAGTAGAAGTGCAGAGTACCAGGTCAATGATGGACAGCATGCATAGGAATAGGTACATGGGCTGGTGCAGGGCAGGCTCTGATTGCACCACCAGTAGCACTGCCATGTTGCCAAGCACTGCCAGGGCATACATGGAGCAAAAGGGAAATGCAATCCAAAAGTGGGATGCCTCCAGGCCAGGAATTCCCATGAGCAGAAAAGTGTTTGGGTTCTGATGGCTGTGGTTTGTGAACTGCATGGTCAGGTCCAGGTAGGGTGGGTGGAGAAGACTTTATTACCCTGCTCTAAACCCTAGGAAGCCCTGGGAGATGAAGCCATTGGGACTCATTCTTATGCTGTGGCTGAAACAAAGTGGGCAGCAGAAAATATTTGAGTTAGAGCTCATGAGAAACATCCAGGATAAGAAGGTTGTAGAGCATTGGGAAGTGATGCAAGGCAGGAGGTGAAGTTATCATTACCAGGGATCAAAGGAGTCCTTTCCATTTGTGTCTGATTCAGTGATGTCTAGGCTGGGGCTGTAGGGTGAGTGGCATGGCTATAGAACTATCATGGTGAAGGTAAGTGATTAGAGAATCTTACCAGTCTTCTGTCTGCCTGTGAATCCTATTCTGCCTATACTCTCATTTCTTTCTAATCCATCTGCCTATGTGACAATAAAAGGGTGATGTAATGATGAAAGGTCAGGCAGATTGGATGGAAGACTCAAATATAGTTACTTTTCAAGATGGGAAGATCAGGACTGAGAAGTAATAGAAAGGAAAGTGGGGGGACGTTCAATGGGTTTTTCGGGCACTGAGCCCATGGTTACTCATGGATGAGACTCAGAACCTGACTTCTGATCCAGAACAACCTTTACATGGTGAGGGCCTGAGTCTCTTATAGCCTGCTAAAGCCATAACATTGCCTGGCTCATGTTAGTACTAGGATCCTGTGCTTGTTGTAGGTGTCTGTATGGATACTGGTAGAAACAAGTGAGATCATGCAGAATTGGTCAGTGGCAGAGGTCAGGCTAATTTGGCCATAATATGTGATCTGATAAAGTTATTGAGGGATGAAAACAGTCTCATAAAAATCAAAGGTACATAAAGATGGTATGAGAAGTGACTTTTAATCACTGGGAACACAATTGTTAACTGTAAGCAAATGTTAACAATGTCCACCACATCTCTTATCCGCACTTTCTATATCCCCTGATCTTCCCTTACCTACATGTACCTTCTCGTTACTCTCTTATCCACTAGCCAGCGAGTAATTGAGAATTTAAGAAAGAATTTGATTAAGTAAGAAAGTCAGGAAGGGGACAGTAGAGGGACAAGGGATGAAAAGGAAAGTTGAGAACAAGAACCAGGAATAGACATAGGTGAGAGAAGAGTACCTTTCTCACACTGATTTCTACATATAATGGGATTTGACTGTGTTCTGGTTACTAGTTGGGACAGAGAATGGAACTAATTGAACCTTCTGGAGATAGCCCATTTATATCCCTAACATTAAGCTACAATACTTCTTATAATCCCTTACATCAGCTATCCATACCCAGAAAGAAAGAGGCAAGAAGAGAAAGGGTAAGTTCTTCTAATGTGGTCTGGGCGAAGGAACCCTGGACCAGGTTGCCATCCCAGTGCCAATTGTGGCTGTCACTGTGGTATTGAGACAATCATCTTGTTTCTTTATGTCTCATCATCCCTTCTTCCATGTGTTTCCTATTTTTTTCTTCTGTGCTATTTCCCCTCCCTGAATTTCTACCATTCAGCTTGGGATCGAGTATATCCAGAGGGTATTTCAATTTTGGTGGCGGCTGAGGTGTCAGGGACAGAGAACAATCTGGGTGAGGGGGTCCTTGTAAAAATGGTATATGTAAACCTGCTCCATTCTATGAATAAGCACACTATGTGCTTAGTTCAGCATGTAACTGTGTGTATATATATGTTGCTGTATAAAATGCGTGAACAAAGCTGTACTCAGAAGACACAGGTACATCCATTTAGTTAAGACATTGTTTTGGAGTGTTCATACTTCAATGCCCTTTCTTTGGTGTGGAGAAAATTGAGAGTTGAATAATCAGACATAAATGGGACAGCCTTGCTTTTTCCCTTTTTTCTTCTTCTACTCAGCCTTTTAATAATTGAATCAAGTTTCCTCAGCCCCTGAGTTGCCTCTCAAAGAATGTTCACTCTATCTTTGTAGTTACATAGCACAATGACTGCATGCTCCCCTTGCCTCAGACCCATTTGCACAGATAGAGAAAATGAAGTTGGAAAAGCACTTGTTGAGCACAGTATGCCCGGATTCTAAGAGAGATCAAGGTGAAGGCCTTGGGGGTCATCACTTCCTGTCCTCAATGATATTTGAGTTAGATCTCATAAAAAATCTCCAGGATAAGATTGTAGGGCACTGGGAAGTGATAAAAGGCAGGAGATGGCTTACCATTGCCACATTCAAAGGAGCTCTTGCCACTTCTGATTCAATGATCCCTAGGCTGTGGGCTGGGAGGTGAGTGGCATGGCTACAGAACCTTCTCCATGGTGGAGGTGAGTGGCTAGAGACTCTTACAGCTTTTTCTCTCTACCTGTGAATGCTGTTGTGCTATACTGTAATTTTCTTCTGAAGGAGAGACTCTCAGCCTCTTCCATACGACTCACCCAGAATAACTCTACTTTATGTCCCTCTCATTGTTCTGAATTACCTTAGAGTCTGGTATTAAAAAAGGTCTTATTGAAAATATGTTAGAACAGGAGCTCAAGTATAGGAACAAACCTGCCTCATGAGGAAAGGAACAAGTTGTTCATTGCTGGAAGTGCTCATGAGGAAGCTACTTGCCAAGGATACAACTTTTATTAGTGGAAAAGTACTTGCCAAGGATACAACTTTTATTAGTGGAAAAGTAAGAGCAGCCCATTTCCAATCTCAACTCTCCTAACTCACCAACTGTGTGATCTCAGTCAAGTCACTCAACCTTTGTCAACCTGCTTCCTCATCTGTGACCTGGAGAGGTTGATTCCTACTTCAGAGGTTACTGTGAGGAATCCTTATGGGGGACATTCATCCAAGAGCACTACATGGCACATAGCAGTGATCAAAAAGTGTGATTTATTTGTAAGTGCCTTTTATCTGAAGTAGAGACCACCTCAGTGAGAAAATGATCTTAGTGCAGTCAGGTCTTTGGCCTGCTAGTAGTGTGCATATTATAGGGTTGAATACACAGACAGACTTACCAGGTCTGGGGCAGGGAGTGGTAGTGAAGTCTCAGGTCCTGCAGGGATTAGTGTGTGGGGAGCAAAATGGTTGGAATATTTATCCTATTATTAAGGCCCTGAGTAAAAATTCCCTGGGGATGAAGACATTTAAAAAGACCTTTGAGATACTGGAAAGAGGCAGAAAATTGAAGCTAGGATATTTGGGTAAGGTAGGGGGAAAAAATAGGGCAATAGAAATTTATCCTGAGAGCTCAGAGTGGATGGGAAGGGGGTGGGTGGACAGACCTCTGCACACAAATAATCCTAAAGGCTTTCTGTCGCAGGAACACAGTTTAGGAAATTTTGGTAATTTTCCTTTTTCTCCTGGCCCCTTCCATGTGTCCCAAATACTTCTCAATATTTCTTTTGGTTAAACTACTTAGCTTCTCTGTAGGTTTTTCACTGTAAAATGGGGAGGCAATGAATATTAAATGAGATGACATATGTAAGGTACTTATCATTTTGCCTGATCTGTGCCAAGCACTTGGTAAAAAGTTTTTATTTTATTATCTAATTCAATGATCATTGACTGAGCATCTACTACCCACAAAGAATTGTGCTAGATGTTAGGGCATAGAATTGAAGGATCACACCTTTTTGTTCATAGTCTGGTTTGGGATGGCAGACATAAAAAATTAGTTATAATTTTTTTTTGATTTTATTTATTTAACAGAGAGAGAGAGAGAGAGAGAGAGAGAGAGAGAGATAGGGAGAGCAGGAACACAAGCAGGGGGAGTGGGAGAGGGAGAAGCAGGCTTCCCACCAAGTAGGGAGCCCAATGCGGGGCCCGATCCAAGGACCCTGGGACCATGACCTGAGCCGAAGGCAGACGCCTAACGACTGAGCCACCCAGGTGCCCCCAAAATTAGTTATAATTTAATGAGAGACCTATAGATACAAAAAAAAGACACAGGCTCATTCAGCAGAAAAGCAATTAGTGCTGTAAAACTTAGTCAAAGATTCAGAAATAGAAGGTAGGCTTGGAGGAAGGTAGACATGAAGGAGAGAAGACAGCAGGTGTAAAACATGGCAAACAAGGGATAATGGGCATTTTCTGGCAACCAGTGAAGCCCAGTTCAAAGTTAACATTTAAAAATTTTATTTGACTATAGTTGACATACAATGTTACATTAATTTCAGGTGTACAACATAGTGATTCAACATCTCTATACATTATGTTATGCTCACCACAAGTGTAGCTATCATCTGTCACCACACAGCACTATTACAATATCATTGACTATATTCCCTATGCTCTGCTTTATTCCTGTGACTTATTCAAGCCTGAATCTCCCACTCCCCTTCACCCATTTTGCCTGTCCCCTCACCCCAACCCAATAGAACAGAGAGCCCAGAAATAAACTCTTGCCTACATGATCAATTAATCTACAAAGGAGACAAGAATATACAATGGGGAAAAGACAGTCTCTTCAATAAATGGTGCTGGACAGCAACATGCAAAAGAATGAAACTGGATTGCTTTCTAACACCAGAAACAAAAATAAACTCAAAATGGATTAAAGACCTAAATGTGAGACCTGAAACCATAAAAATCCTAGAAGAGAACACAGGCAGTAATTTGTTTGGCATTGAGTGTAGAAACATTTTTATAGGCACATCTCCTGAGGCAAGGGAAACAAAAGCAAAAATAATATATTGAGACTACCTCAAAATAAACTTCTGTATAGTGAAAGAAATTACAACTTAAAGGGTAAAAAGATAAAAAATAAAAAACTGGGAAAAAAGTGGCTGATAAACCTGGGCAAATTTATAGTGATAGAACATATACCTCCCAAGATGGTTAGTAAGGTTAAATGAATATGTAAAAATCCTTAAATATTTTCTTGCAAATACAAGTGTTTACTCCAAAAAAAACTGTGACTAGGAGAACGGGTTCCCAGGAAGCAAGCTATCATATTTTTGAATTCTATACCAAAGAAGGGAAACAACGGATGTTCACCACAGTTCACCAGTGTGTTATATAACGTTTCATTTGAGGGGTTTCACTATTTTTTTTAAAAAGTATGATAATACTCACCTAAGAAAATGCAATTTCATGAATTGTCTTTTAACCATATCTAAAGTTTTAATTATATTAGTGATTTACAAATACATTCCTTTAGAAGACACACACACACACGATTCCTATTTTAAGGAGTTTTAAATGCAGATGGTGAAAGGAAGAGCCAGTGGGAGATGGCATGGCCCAGATGATAGAAAGGAAGGTGCAGGCTTTGTTCTCTGGGCATAGATTCATACTTCAAGAATTAAGTTTCAGGGATTCTGAGTTTTGGCCATTCCTCCATTTAGTTCTTCCAGAGACACAACTGATTCTAATAGAGGGAAATAAATGGCAATAGCAGATAAATGAGATGACTCTTAAATTTTCTGCCAGCACCACAGTGCTTAGAGCGAAGCCAAGGATCTCCATGGTCTTAATGGTAGACATGGCTATTTATTGTTAACTTGGGATACTATTGGGCAGAACACTATTCAAGTAATGATATTTGCTCTACAGAATATTATTGAGCATCTATTATGTGTCAACATTTCTCTAAGTTCTAGGAATGTAGTAGTGAACAAAGAAGACAAAGTCTTTGATCTCACAGAACTTCTAAGCCAGTAAGGGAGAATTTCATTAAAGTCAATATGTAACAAAGAGGTATTGAAAAGTACTAATAAAAAATAAAATAGGAAGACAAAATGACAAGA